TGCTACATCGTGGCATTATTGTGCCATTTTATAGATAAGAAAACAGAGGCCCGAAGTCACATAGCTAATTATGAGTGGTGAGGTCGCTGATCAGACCCAGGTCCAGCTGGATTCCGGTTAAAGGGCACGTGTTGTACTCACCCGGCCACCATGCCCTTTCCCCTGAGAAAGGTCTCTACCTCACTCCATGTGGCTTGGGAGGGGCTGCCAAACACAGCACCTACCCTCCTGGGCCACAGAGGTGGGCCTGGGTGTGCGGGGCTTGGGTGCGCACAGGAGAGACAAGGCTGGGAAAGGAAGGCCGGGCTGTGCCCAATACCGATCACTAGAACTTTATTTTTCTATTTTTTTTTTTTTTTTGAGAGTCAGAGTCTTGCTCTGTCACCCAGGCTGGAGTGCAATGGCACCATCTCAGCTCACTGCAGCAACCTCCACCTCCTGGGTTCAAGCGATTCTCCTGCCTCAGCTTCCCAAGTAGCTATAGGCGAGTACCACCACGCCCAGATAATTTTTGTATTTTTAGTAGAGATGGGATTTTTCTATATGTTAGCCAGACTGGTCTCGAAATCCTGACCTCAGGTGATCCACCTGCCTTGGCCTCCCAGAGTGCTGGGATTACAGGCCTGAGCCACGGCATCCGGCCTCGGATCACTAACACTTTCTAGGGCTGACTTCCTGCCAGGTCCATTCCAAGGACTTGGATAGATGACCTCATTTACTTTTTTGTTCTACATTCACAACCAGTCTATAAGTAGGGGTTGTTATTACCCATTTCACAGATTAGGAAACTGAGGCACAGAGAGGTGAGGTGACCTCAAGCAAGGTCACACAGCCAGGAGGTGGCAGGGCTGCCAGGTACACCCAGAGAGTCAGGCTCCAGCATGCAGTTCTCCACCCCAGAGGCAAACTGCCTAGGCAGAGGTGAGTTGCCAGCGGTGCAGTGGTGTGGGAGCCTGGGGGACTCCCTGGCTCCCCTGGAATCGCTCACACACAGAGCCCTGAGGCCCAGAAGGATTTAATTAAGGCTCAGAGGCTGATTAGCTACTGATAATTAAGGCTTTGTATTTTCTGCTCTTGGTTTTCCTAATGAAGCAGATGGTGACCTGGGGAGGGAGGGTGAGCCCCGCTGTGTGCCCAGCTCCTGCACCAGGCACAGTCTCTAGAGAGGGACTTCCCGACCGTTTCCAGAGGCCTAGGGCCTGGACCGCTCTAACACCTGATACCCAGTAGGTCCTGGGGACAGGGAGAGAACCATGCAATATTTGGGACAGAGTTACACTAAGAAATTCCTCATTATTTATCTGAAAGTCAAGTTTCACTGGATGTAGTGGTTTTTCATTTATTTGTTTTTTTTGTTTTTGTTTTTTTTTTTTGAGATGGAGTCTCACTCTGTCGCCAGGCTGGAGTGCAGTGGGGCAATCTCGGCTCACTGCAACCTCCGCCTCTTGGATTCAAGGGATTCTCCTGCCTCAGCCTCCCGAGTAACTCTGGGACTACAGGTGCGCGCCACCACGCCCAGCTAATTTTTGTATTTTTAGTAGAGATGGGGTTTCACCATGTTGGCCAGGATTATCTCGATCTCTTGACCTTGTGATCTGCCCGCCTCAGCCTCCCAAAGTGCTGGGATTACAGGCGTGAGCCACTGCGCCTGGCCCTATTTATTTGTTTTCTAAATCTGGCAACCCGAATCAGTGTCCATCCAAATCTGGAACTGAGGCTGGTACGGAGTTCCCTGTTGTGCCAGGTGTCAACTCTTCAGTCACAGGCTAGTGGAGGTGTCTGGAGAGAGAGGGTGCCCAAGGCGGGGAAGGGTTCTGGGGCTCAGGCAGCAGCATCCATCACCCAGCCCACAGTATTCCAGCAATTTTTTTTTTTTTTCTTTTTTGAGATGAAGTCTAGCCCAGGCTAGAGTGCAGCAGCGCGATCTCAGTTCACTGCAACCTCCGCCTCCCCGGTTCAAGCGATTCTCCTGCCTCAGCCTCCCAAGTTGCTGGGATTACAGGCGCACACCATCACACCTGGCTAATTTTTGTATTTTTAGTAGAGGCAGGGTTTCACCATATTGTTCAGACTGGTCTCAAACTCCTGACCTCAGATGATCCACCCACTTCAGCCACCCAAAGTGCTCAGACAACAGGCTTGAGCCACTGCACTCGGCCACTCCAGCATTTTAACAGCCTCCACACCTACGTGGTGACACCAGGTGACTGGGAGCCCTGCTGCAGAGTTACACAGCCTCAGCTCACCTGGGCGCTCCCTGAGTGACCAGGACAAGCCATGGCTCCTGGGGGACAGAGGCCTCACTATGTACTGTCTCTGTGCCACAACTGCATAAGCTCAGTCTCTCATTTCACAGAGGAAGCCACCAGCCCAAACCCACAGACATGGAGCCAAACCTAAAACTCAGAACCCCTCTTACCTCTCTAGCACATCCTCACCTCCGGGACCAGCCCCACCCTGGGACCAGTGGGCCAAGGGGCAAAGGAGGAAGAGAGGGACCCACCGTGCGGTTGTGGGGCTGTGGCTCCGATGCGTGGATGGGACGGTTCAGGCTGGGCCTTCCCACGTAGACGTCTCGGGCCAGCGGGAAGGCTCTCAGCAGCTGCAGCAGTGCCCTTGGGTTCACGTAATTGTCATCATCCACATGGCAGAACCACCTGTTAGGGATGAAACGGGGACAGTGAACTTGTTGGTTGGGGGGGCTCCAAGCCAGAGTCCCCAGGCACCCCTACAGTCGGCCAACAGTGACAGAGTTCAGGGTAGGGGTGGGGGAGGCTGGCATTTAAGGCATCTGTTTGGTGCCAAGTTGCATATTGTATAAGATTTTGAGGATGGTGTCCATTTCACAGATGAGGGCCAACACTGAGAGGCTAAGACACTGGCCCTGGCCGGGCGCAGTGGCTCACACCTGTAATCCCAGCACTTTGGGCGGCCGAGGCCGCTGAATCACCTGAGGTCAGGAGTTCGAGACTAGCCTGGCCAACATGGTGAATCTCCGTCTCTACCAAAATTGCAAAACTTAGCCAGGCATGGTGGGGTGCGCCTGTAATCCCAGCTACTCGGAAGGCTGAGGCAGGAGAATCACTTGAATCCAGGAGGCAGAGGTTGCAGTGAGCTGAGATCCCACCATTGCATTCCAGCCTGGGTGAGAAGAGCAAAACTCTGTCTCAAGAAAAAAAAAAAAAGTCATTTGCCCAAGGTCACATAGCCAATCCTGAATGGCAGGACTGGAACCCAGCTGGACTTCCCAGCCATCTGCCCACTGCCTGCTAGGGGAGTGGGGGCTGAAGTCAGACCCCAGGAGGCCCAGGGGTTATTTTCACTGGTCCCAGACCACACCTATCCCCAGAGACCCAGGAACACTCACCTACGCCCACTGGCCAAGAAGGTGTCGAACTCGGCAGCCATCTTGCAGGACAGAGCTGGGTGACTGTGTTCTGCAGAGCAGTTGGTGACCACAAGGTGAGACCCTGGAGAAGTGAGGAGGAGTCAGGGGACCCTGCCCAGCTCCCACTTCACAGCCCGGAACACAAAATACAGAGCAAGGCCGGGCTGCAGGAAGTCTGGATTGGCCCACCCACTCCCATTTTACACATGGTGACACTGAGGCCCAGGGAGGGCAGACCTGCCCGGGACCACAGAGCTACTGGACAGCAGGTTGGGCTGGGACTCAGGTGTCCAGGCCTTGTCCAGCACAGTGCTTCCCCACACCCACGCCCACACAGGTTTCCAGGGAAGATGCCCACTTCCCTCCTGGGCAAAGGGGAATCCCCACATGCCAAAGGTGGGCAGCCCACTTCCTGGGAACCCTCAGGCCAGGACACAGCCCCCCTCCCCCAGCTTTCCTGGGCAACAGCTGAAGTCCCCCACCCCACCCAGGCCAGGCAGAGTTACCCAGTCTCTCCCGGAGGCCTTCGTCTGGGCTGTCGGTGAATATGAACGTCTAGGAAGGAGGAGAAGGGGTCAGGATTCCCGTTGGCCGAGGGAAGCACCAAACCAATCCACAGCCCACCACCACCGGGCCCCAGGTGGACTTTGTACTCCCTCAGTGACAGACACACCCCTCTCCTGGTCGCACGCTCCTTTAGGACAACATATACAACACACAATCCAGCTTTTGTAGACACACAACTTCAGGGTGCACGCAGGCCACCGTATACACACATACACTTGCCTCCTTTCCAGAGCGGCACCACAGGTACCCAACCATAGCCACACACCTGGGCAGCATCTCGCCCTCTGCTATCACGCGCGTGAGTGCGTGCGCGCAAACATACATATACATACACACACACATACACATATACATACACACACATACACTCACCTCCTTTCTAGAGCGGCACCACAGGGACCCAACCATAGCCACACACCTGGGCAGCATCTCACCCTCTTGTATCATGCACATAGGTACGCGCGCACACATACATACACACACATACACACACACATACAGTCACAGCTACACTCAGCCCCTCCACAATTACATAACACAACCCTAAACTCATTATCAGGACACAAACTCTATGTGAACAGAGCCACACCCACACCCAGGGGCACCGTGCCACTAGGGAGACGTCACGCCTTCACAGCCACACAAACCTCCTGTGCCAGCCATCTCAGAGATGCTCCCCCAACCCAATCCAGCTCCCCCAGATTGGACAGCGCCCCACCAAGAGCTTCCAAATGCTCTGTCCCTAGCGACCCTCAAACCTCACAAGGCAGGTGTCACCTGTTCCCTTCCCAGATGACAAAAAGGCTGAGTGACAGACCAGAGTTGGCAAGTGCCGGGCTGAGATTCAAACCCACAGGCCTCGGACCTCTCCCTGCCGCCTCCCAGGCAGCTAAAGCTGCTCAGCGCCCTACATAAACCAAACCCAGACTCTGAATGAGAGGCAGAGGCAGCCCGTGGACACCACAAAGACCAGCCAGGCTGGGGACTGCTGTCCTTCCCGTTCCAGGCCCAGCCCAGCATGGGGAGAGCTTCTCGGCTGCCCAAGTGGGTCCTCTCACACCCAGTGAGCACCCAAGGGCCTTTGAGGGCGTCCCTGGCCCTGGGACTGCCCTGCCCAGGACTCGGGACAATTCTGGACCCCTTCCAAGTGTCCCACCTAATGTTTAAAGCCTCCAGACTCAGCCCCCACTGGGGCCACACATGTGGCCTATCCCTGACCTCCCTCCAAGCCGTCTATCTACCTCCAAGAGTTAGTAGAGTTAATGTGGTTCCTCCGAGTAGGTGCATTAGTAGGTGACCTGCTGTGATGTTAGCTGTTAATCGTACGGCTAGTGCTACTGGTTGAATAAAAAGGCAGATTGTTTGGATGATGATTAGCATGGGAATAAGTGGGATAGGCGTTCCTTGGGGTAAGATGGGCTAGAGATGCTTTTGTTTTAAATCGAAATCCTGTGAGTACAGCGGCTGCTCATAGGGGAATTGCTATGCCTAAATTTATTGATAGTTGAGTAGTTGATGTAAATGCGTAGGGTGTAAGTCCAAGGAGGTTATCTAAGGTGATAAAGGTAATTAGTGCCAAGAGTATAAGGGATTGAGTTCATCTTTTAATATTATGAACTGTTGTTACTTGTTTTAGTGGAAGTTGAATTAATCATTGTTGGAGCGAGGAAAGCCGGTTGTTGATTAGGTTATTAGAAGGCATAATCAATGTCGTAGGAAATAAAATAATATTGCTAGGGAATTCCTAAGATTGTTGGGATATTGAAAGAGGTGAATAGATTTTCATTCATTTTCGTTCTCAAGTTGTTTTGTTTTTGTGCTTTAATTAACTTTGATAATGGGGTGGTGTGGAAGGTAAAATTCAGTATTTTTAATTGAATAGAATAGGGCTACAACTATTGATCAGATCACCACTGGTCATGTTGAAATATCTAGTTGGGGCATTCACTGTAGAGAGAGGTTCTCTCAATCTTTAACTTAAAAGGTTAATGCTTAGTAGCTTTACAGTGATACAATGTATAGATATGAGGCTCAGACTTCAAAGTCTTTGAAATATAGGAATTCTAGAACGATGGGTATAAAGCTATGATTTGATCTGCACATTTCTGAGCATTGCCCATAAAATAGGCCTGGTCATATAGAGGCTAGTATAGCTTGATTTAAACGTCCGGGGATTGCATCTGTTTTAACGCCTAGTGATGGGACAGCTCATGAGTGTAAGACGTCTTCTGATGAAATTAGCATACGAATATCTGCTTCTATTGGCAAGGTTGTTCACTTATCTACTTCAAGAGGTCGAAATTTGCCGGGTTCAAGAAAATAAGTTGGTATAATATAAGAATCAAAAGCCAAGTCTTCATAGTCTGAGTATTCGTAGCTTCAGTATCATTGGTGACCAGTTGCCTTAAAGGTTAAGTAGAGTTTATTAAGCTTGTCTGTTACGTACAGGATACGTAGGGATGGGAGGGCAATTACAATAAGAATGATGGCGGGTAGGATAGCTCAGATTATTTCCATTTCTTGAGCGTTTATGGTGCTGGTATGGGTTAGCTTTGTAGTAAGCATTAGGGAAATAACATAAAGGACTAGAGAGCTAATTAGGAAAATAATTATGAGAGTGTGATCATGAAAAGCAATTAGTTCTATAATGGGGGATGTAGAGTTTTGGAGACCTAGTTGGGCTGAGTGAGCCATTAAGATATGTAGAGTTTGGTCCATAATTTAACTTTGACAAATTTATGTAATTATTTTACTAATATCTCATTGAAAAAGTCATGGGGTCTATGGGATAGGCTTGAAACCAGTTTTTGGGGGCTCAGATCCTTCCTTTTTCGCTTAAAGATTTTATGTAGGTAGACTCTTTAAATGTGTGTTAAGGAGGGCAGCCATAGAGTCATTCTAGATTGGTAGATAGCTGCTCGATAGTTGAAACTTTTTGTTTTGAGGAGAAGACTTCTCAAATTATGAAAATTATTAGAATCACTGCTGTTAATGAAATGAATGAGCCTACAGATGAGACGATATTTCATGTAGTATATGCATCAGGATAATCAGAGTATCGTCGGGGTATTCCAGATAAGCCAAGAAAATGTTGTGGAAAGAAAATTAAATTTACGCCTACAAATACAGTGGTAAAGTGAATTTTAGCATAGGTCTGGTCAAGTGTATAACCCGAGAATAAGGGGAATCAGTGAATAAAGCCCCCTATGATAGCAAATACTGCTCCTATGGATAGGACGTAATGGAAATGAGCTACTACATAGTATATGTCATGTAAGACAACGTCTAATGATGAGTTGGCTAGTACGATTCCTGTTAACACACCTATGGTGAAAAGGAGAATAAAGCCCAGGGCTCAGAATATTGCGGGAGATCGTTTAATATTACCGCCATGCAGCATAGCTAATCAGCTAAAGACTTTTACTCCAGTGGGGATACCAATAATTACAGTAGCTGATGTAAAATATGCATGTGTATCCACATCTATCCCTACTGTGAATATGTGAGGGGCCCATACGATAAATCCTAGGAAGCCAATAGATATTATAGCTCATGCTATTCCCATGTATCCAAATGGTTCTTTTTTGTTGGAGTAATGTGTTACAATATGTGAAATTATTCCAAAGCCTAGTAGGATGAGGATGCCCAAAAAATCAAAACAGGTGTTGATACAGAATGGGATCCCCACCACCAGCAAGGTCAAAGAAAGTGGTATTAAGGTTGCGATCAGCTATAATATAGTGATTCCAGCAGCTAGAACTGGGAGGGAGAGCAGCAGCAGAACTGCTGTAATACCAAACGAAAAGGGGTGTTTGATACTGAGTTATGGCTGGAGGTTTTATATTGATAATCGTGATAAAATTAATGGCCCCTAAGAGGAAATGCCTGCTAAGTGAAGCGAAAAAATAGTGAGGTCCACAGAGGCTCCTGGATGCGACATATTTCCTGCTAGGGGCAGATAAGGTGTTCAGCCAGTTCCAGCGCCAGCTTCCAGTGTTGAGGATGCAAGTCGAGAAGAAGTGATGGGGGAAGAAGTCAGAAGCTTATATTATTTATTCGGGGAAATGCTATATCGGGAGCATCAATCATTAGAGGAAGAAGTCAGTTTCCAAAGCCCCCGATTATGATTGGTGTAACTATAAAGAAGATTATAATGAATGCGTGGGAGGTAGCATTAACATTATAAACATGGTCATCTTCTATTAGACTTCCTGGTTGACCCAGTTCTGCTCGAATTAGGAAGCTCAGGGCTGTTCCTACTGCTCCTGCTCATGCACCAAATAATGGGTATAGTGTTCCGATATCTTTATGGTTAGTTGAAAATAGCGATTTGTGAGCATAGGTAGAGAAGGATAAAATGGCTCTGTAAGCATTAGACTGTAAATCTAAAGACAGGGGAATATCCTCTTTTTTACCAGTTCCGAGGTGATATATCATATTGAATTGCAAATTCAAAGAAGCAGCTTCAACCCTGCCCGGGCTTCTCCCACCTTTTTTCCCCCATATGGTGGGAGAAGTAGATTGAAGCCAGTTGATGAAGTTGTTTAGCTGTTAACTAAATTTTTGTGGGTTAAAATCCCATCAAACTAGAAAGGGCTTAGCTTAATTAAAGTAGCTGATTTGCGTTGTTGATGCAAAATAAAGTTTTGCAGTCCTTACAGTAGCGTAGAAATGAAGTACAATTTACTTACTAAGGGCTTTGAAGGCTCTTGGCCTGGTTAACCTAAATTTCTAGTTTATTAAATTTATGGGGTTGTGGGCAGGAGAAAGGCGGAAGAAATGATAAGGTGGGGAGAAATGGTATTGGGTTTATGTATTTGAGTTGTCAATTTTTGTATTATTAGATGTGGGAAATATTGTTATTGAAATGGAGTATGTTAGGCGCATATAAAAACGTAAGTTTATTAGTGTTAGGATGGCCATAGTAAGGGGGATAAGAAGATTATTATTTTTTGTAAGTTCTTGTATGATAGCTCATTGGGGGAAAGCCTCCTAAAGATAGTATTATTAGTGGAATTAGGGGTATTATTCATGTAAGTTTGTTTCAGGTATGTGGTAGTGATAGGGTTGTTACGTTTGAGTTTAAGTAAAATATTATGAATATAGAGATTGTTAAGAGATAAATGAGTAGGCTTAGAATGGTAATACTTGGGTCATAATATAGTACTGCCATTATTCATCCTATAAGAGATTGAGGAGTAAGCTAAGATTTTGCGTAGTTGTGTTTGGTTAAGTCCTCCTCAACTGCCTAATATAATTGATAAAATTGAGACTGTTAAGAGGTGTTTATATTGATTGATGGGAAGATTTGGAGTATGAATGATACAGGGGCTAGTTTTTGTCATGTAAGGATGGGTAAGGCGGGCATTAGGGGAATGCCTTGGGTTACTTCTGGGAGTCAGAAGTGAAGGGGAGCTATTCCTAGTTTTATTGCTAGGGCTACTAGTATTGCTGTAGATAAAATTTGGTTTAGAGATGGGTTAACTGTTCATTGTCCAGAGAATAGATTGTTGAGGAGGATAGTTATGAGGATTATGGATGCGGTCGCCTGTATTAAAAAGTATTGCCGGGCACGGTGGCTCAAGCCTGTAACCCCAGCACTTTGGGAGGTTGAGGCGGGTGGATCACGAGGTCAAGAGATCGAGACCATCCTGGTCAACATGGTGAAACCCCGTCTCTACTAAAAATACAAAACATTAGCTGGCCATGGTGGCGCGTGCCTGTAATCCAAGTGACTCAGGAGGCTGAGGCAGGAGAATTGCCTGAACCCGGGAGGTGGAGGTTGCGGTGAGCCGAGATCGCGCCATTGCACTCCAGCCTGGGTAACAAGAGTGAAACTCCGTCTCAAAAAAAAAAAAAAAAAAAAAAAAGTATTTAGTGGCTGCTTCCGTGGAGCGGGGGCTTGTGTTTTTGACTAGTATTGGTACAATAGCTGGTATATTTAGTTCTAAGCCTATTCAGATGAGGAATCAGTGTGAGCTTAGTATTGTGATTACAGTTCCGGTTAAAATTGTAAGGGAAATAATTCGGTGGGCTAAAGGATTAATTAGTACAGGAGGGATTGAACAACATTTTCGGGGTATGGGCCCAATAGCTTACTTAGCTGACCTTACTTAGAATATGGTGTAATAGGTAGCATGGAGAGTTTTGAGTTCTTAGGTATGGGTTCAATTCCCATAGTTCTAGAAATAAGAGGATTTAAACCTCTATGATTTATCCTATCAAAGTAATTCTTTTGTCAGGCATATTTCTTATGTTTGGAGCAGGATGCCAGATGTTAGGATGGGTATTGAAATATATACATAGTGCTAGTGTAAGTGGTAAAAAATTTTTTCATAGGAGGTGTATTAGTTGGTCATAGCGGAATCGAGGGTATGCTGTTCGAATTCATAAAAATAGGGTGGTTAAGAGGAGGGTTTTAGCGATAAAATTTATTGTATAGAGTTCTGGTATAGCTGTAGTGTAAGGTGTTGCTAAAAAGATAGTAATAGTTAGGGCATTTGTGATCATGATATTTATGTATTCTGCTATAAAGAACAGAGCGAATGAGCCCGCAGCATATTCAATGCTAAACCCTGAAACTAGTTCTGATTCGCCTTCTGTTAGATCAAAGGGAGCTCGGTTGGTTTCTGCTCATGTGGGCATAAATCATATTATGGCTAGGAGTCATGATGGTAGTAGAAGTCAGGAGTGCTCTTGTGTTGTAAGAAGTGAATGTAAATTAAATGAGCCACTTATGAGTAGGGTTGACAATGGAATAATAGCTGGGGTGACTTCATATGAGATTGTCTGGGCTACAGCTCATGATGCGCTGATTAGTGCGCAGTTTGAGTTGGATGCTCATCCGGATCACAAGATTGAGTAAACAGCTAGACTTGATGTTGCTAGTATAAATAAAAGGCCTAGGTTCAAGTTAATTAAAGGGTAAGGTATGGGGAGAGGGGTTCACAGGAGAAGAGCGATGGAGAGGGCTAAGGTTGGGGCGGTTACGTACAGGGTTGTAGCGGATGTGGTGGGTAGTAGAGGTTCTTCTGTGAAAAGTTTTATTGCATCAGCAATTGGTTGAAGTGTTCCGTAGGGGCCTACAGTGTTAGGGCCTTTACGAAGTTGTATATAGCCTAAGACTTTTCGTTCTACGAGTGTCAAGAATGCTATAGCGACTAGAGCAGGAATAACTGGTAGGAGTAAATTAGTTATAAACACGCTGTTAAGAGGAGGAACCGAAGCTCTGGTTGTAAAGTTTCAAGTTTTATGCAGTTGCTGGGCTCTGCCATCTTAATGAGCCCTGTTCTTGGGGGAAAAAGTAATAATTTATAAGATTAAGATAATCATCTGATTTGTGAGGGCGCTTTGTGAAGTAGGTTCTCTTTCTCTTGTCCTTTCATACTGAGAGAAATATTTAATAGATAGAAACCAACCTGGATTTCTCCGGTCTGAACTCGGATCACGTAAGACTTTAATCGTTGGACAAATAAACCTTTTTTTTTTTTTTTTTTTGAGACGGAGTTTTGCTCTTGTTACCCAGGCTGGAGTGCAATGGCATGATCTCGGCTCACCGCAACCTCCGCCTCCTGGGTTCAAGCAATTCTCCTGCCTCAGCCTCCCAAGTAGCTGGGACTACAGGCATGCACTACCATGCCCAGCTAATTTTTGTATTTTTAGTAGAGACGGGGTTTCACCATGTTGACCAGGATGGTCTCGATCTCTTGACCTCATGATTCACCCACCTCGGCCTCCCAAAGTGCTGGGATTACAGGCGTGAGCCACCGCGCCGGTCCGGACAAATGAACCTTTAATAGCGGGGGCACCATTAGGATGTCCTGATCCAACATCGAGGTCATAAACCTTATTGTCGATGTGGACTCTGGAATAGGATTGCGCTGTTATCCCTAGGGTAACTTAGTCCATTGATAAGTTATTGGGTCAATAAATGTAGATTTACTTAGACTAGTAACGTCTTGGTATATGTTTTTAGGGGGCTGCGTTATACTCCAAGGTCACCCCAACCGAAATTTATAATACGTAGATGGTGGGTTAGTGCCTGTGGGTTTTTAAGATACTCGTTTGTATTATTAAATTGAAGCTCCATAGGGTCTTCTCATCTTATTTAGGTATATCCACCTCTTCACGGATAGGTCAATTTCACTGATTAAAAGTAAGAGACAGTTAAACCCTCGTGTGGCCATTCATACATGTCCCTATTTGGAGAACAAGTGATTATGCTACCTTTGCACGGTCAGGGTACCACGGCCGTTAAACATGTGTCACTGCGCATGTGCCTCTAGTACTGGTGACGCTAGAGGTAATGTTTTTGGTAAACAGGCAGGGGTAAAGTTTGCTGAATTCCTTTTACTTTTTTTAATCTTTCCTGGAGGCATGCCTGTGTTGGGTTAACAGTTTGGGTGATAGATTAAACTGTAGGTTATAACGATTGGGCTGTTAACTAACAGTAGTTGTTTCGTCTGATATAAGCTTATGCGGCGAGAATAATTTCACGTTACTTATGCTAACATTGTTGCTTCTATTAAGTAATAGATTAGTCCAGTGTGTTTTAGGAGTTCAGTAAAATGAATAGGATTAAGAGTAATTGAGCATTGAGCTTAAACGCTTTCTTAATTGGTGGCTGCTTTTAGGTCAACTATGGTAGTGAAATGTTTTACTCTCTATAAAAGGTTATTTCCTAGGGTCTAAAGAGCTGTCCCTCTTTAGACTAATGATTAGATTTACAGGAGGATTAAATAGTTCTGTAAGTAAATTGAAGGTTGAACTAAGATTCTGTCTTGGACAACCAGCTATCACCAGGCTCAATAGGTTGTCGCCACTACCCATAGAATTTCCCACTATTTTGCCACATAGACAGGTGCACTCTTTTAGCTGTCCTTGGGTAGCTCACTTGGTTTCGGGGACGTTGTTGAAGCTCTCTACACAAAGCTATTTCTAGTTAATTCATTATGCAGAAGGTAGAAGGGTTTGTCTTTGCTTTTTTATGCTTTATTAGGCTTTTGCCTTTCCCTTACAGTACTATATCTATTGCACCTAAATATAATTTCTATCGCCTATACTTTTTTAATAGGTAAATGATTTAATTATTGTAGTTAAATAATATAGTTATGAGGTTGGAGCTAGAGCTAGCTCAGAGTGATCAGTTATTGGTGAGATCTTCCGGGTGTAAGCCGGATGCTTTAATTTAAGCTACACTTTGATTCGTCCAAGCGTACTTCCCAGTACACTTACCGTGTTACGACTTATCCCCTCTATATCAGTGTGTAGTGGCTTATTGGCAAGATACTTTTATGCGACGTTTGAGGAGGGTGACGGGCAGTGTGTGCCTGCTTCATGGCCTTTATTCAATCAAGCTCTCTCTTCTTGATGTACTGCTAAATCCACCTTAGGTCTTTAGATTTCATAAAGGTACCCATCTGTCTCCTAGTCCCAACACCTGGTTATCCTCGGGGAGGCCCGGGCAGCATCTCCTTCTGAGCCTCTCCCTGGGGTCTGTCTCACTGTCAGATTTAGCTAATGCTGGAGGTCTCTGGATTTCCTCGGGGAGAAATGTCACTGGTCTGAGCCTAGGCCCTGGTCTGCTTCTTCACGAAGCCCACTCCCTTGGTGATGCCATGCAGCCTCTCGGCTTTAACCACCATCAGGGAGCTGGAGACTCGTGTACACCGCAAGCCCTAGCCTCTCCCTGAGCTCCAAACCGTCAGATCCCCCCAGCCACCACATCTCCACGATGTCTTAATGCATCAAGAATGAGCCCCAGGCTCTCCAAAATCCTCCCTCTCACTGATTGGGACCCAAAACCTCGGAGTCCCCGCCCCTCCTCTCTTCCTCTCACACCTTCCCCAAGCCTGTCAGCGACTCTACTCACCAGCCTCCAAATCACCTAGATTGCTTCTTGTCCCTCCAGCCCACCCAGCCACCCAGAGCCCCACCACTGTCGTCACCTGCTACCTGCCTTGCTGCAGTCTCTCCTCCCTGGCATCCCTGCTCTGTTCTGCCACCACCCCGTCTGTTTTCGACACAGCCCCAAGGGATCCCATAAAAGGAGCCAGCCCTTTCCTACCCTGCCCCCAGCAAACTTTTGCCACCAAACAGGCACCAGATAGCGGAGCGCTCTAGTTTGGAGCATGGGCCAAATGGGCTGAGGAACGTTTCCCAGTGAAGACCGAGTAAGCCCAAATAAAGCAGGACAATAGGCACTTTGGGAGGCTGAGGCAGGTGGATCATGAGGCCAGGAGTTCAAGACCAGCCTGACCAACATGATGAAACCCCATCTCTACTAAAAATAGAAAAATTAGCCTGGTGTGGTGGTGCCTGCCTGTAATCCCAGCTACTCAGGAAGCTGAGGATCACTTGAAACCAGGAGGCGGAGATTCCAGTGAGCTAGGATCGTGCCTCTGCACTCCAGCCTGGGCAACAGAGTGAGACTCTGTCTCAAAAAAAAAAGCAGGAGAATAAAGCAGCCATGAGCAGAGGGAGGGAGGGAGCCGAGAAGGGGAGTCCAGGTCCAGAGGGGTGGGGGCATGGGAGAGGGCAGCGAGGCTGGTGCTTTCAGTCCCCGGGAATCCTGAGGTTGGCCCAGAGCACTGGGCAGAGTTTCCTCAGAGCTGAAGGCTGCATTTGATTTGTTTAAGGAGAGGGCCTGACAATGGTGGAAACTTCACAGGCGGCCGCTGGAAACAAAAGGACACGCAGCCTGCTGGGGTAGGGGAGGGGTGGCCGGGGACCATCTGCTGTGGAGGAGGGGAGTTGTGGGGCCGCTGCCACCTCTCCCCCGGCCACCCGGCCATCCCGTCCCCGCCCCTGCCCCCTGCCCACAAGGGGAGGAGAAAGGCTCCCCTTGAGTGCAAAACCCGCCTCCCCCAGCCCACCCCCTCGCCCAGGACAAAGGCCGGCACACGAGTCCCCGGCCCCTGCCACAAGGCCCACCTGCTACCCAGCCGCCCTTAACCAGCCGGAGGGGCGCCCAGTGCTGCAGTTAACCAGCTCAGGCCCGGTCCAGACACTCCCGCCCCATGGAGATGAGGAAACTGTAGGCCGAAAGGGGAGGGCCTTGGCCAAGGTCACAGAGAGAAGTGAGCCAAAGGGTGAAAGAGACATGGGGTGGCGAGCGAGGACCTCCCTGTCCTTCCACCTCCTCCTCCATCTCAGCATCCTTCCTTCTTTCAACTTTAAAGACAAGACTTCTGGAGTCTGCCCCTCGCCCCTTGGGTCCCGCTGAGTGGCTTCATCTCCCACCTCAGCTGAACCTGCTCGGTGTTTGCACTGTGAGGTGGGAACGTCACGGGCGTCACAGTTGACCTCTGCGGCTTGCCATGAGGGTGGAACAAGCAACTCGCCTGATCTGCAGCCCGTAGCTGCCAGCACCCCACTCCCACCCCACCACCTGATTCACAGCTGGGATTGAGCTTCGGACACAGGGGTTGTTCTTGCCTGCCTCTGCTGCCCTGGTTCTGTCAGGCACAGCTGCCCAGCCCGAAGGCCAAGGACCCTCTCCTGTAGCCCAGTGGCCCAGGCCTCACAGGGTTCCCAAGTCTCAGCAGGGGAGAAAGGGGCCCAGACAGGGGCAAGGTTCTAGGTCCCGCTGGTCTCTGACCCATCAGGCCTTCTGAGTGACGCTGCGCCAGCCAGCACTTCCTCCTCTCTGGCCTCAGTTTCCCCATCCAGGGCAAGGGCATCAGATGGAGACAGGACAGGAAAAGGCCGTGGGCCATGTGAGGCCACGCTCCCGGGTACACAGACGCATAAACAGGAAGGCCTGTGGGAGGGCCCGCCTCGGCGGCTTCCGCAGGAAGAACCAAGAGCTCCCCAAGAGGAGAAGCTGTGTGGGGTCCAGAGAAGAGCTGGGGTGCTCGGGGCCAGCTGGAGAAGCCTTAAGCCTGGTGTAAGAGCCAAAATCAAGGCAGGGCGCCCTCCCCAGGACAGCCTGGCCTCCCAGGCTTCCTCTCCCTGTCTTGGTCTTTCAGGAGGCCTAACTCCCTCCAAAGACTCAGTCACTTCCTCCTATTGAGCCAGCCTCCAAAGAGGGGTGGGTGTGTGTGTGTGTGTGTGTGTACGCGCACGCCCGTTCTCCACCTCCCGAGCAATGGTCCCTAACACCCGGCATCACTGATTTTGCTTGAGGAAGACACTGGATGCGAGGAGGGGAAGAGCTGGAAGGGATTTGGCTTGCCGGAGCCATGCACCCATGTGACACCCACGCCTCTTGTCACGGCATATCTAGCACACTCCAGCTCCATGCGTACGAGCACGTGCGCACACAAAATCCTGCAGGCCTGGCAGGCCTCCCGACCTCCCACCACCACTCCTCTCCCTCTACCCTGGCAGCACCCACTCTCCTTCCCTCCCTCTGAAGCAGCCCTGCAGAAAGCCAGCGCAGGAAGCCAGACATGGCACCCTTGGCACGCCCCGGGCAGCAGAGGCACAGCGGCAGGGGCTGTCGGGAAGCCTGAAAGGATGCCTCCCCCAGAACAGACCCCACCTAGACAGTCTCCCCTTGTCTGCAGCCCTCAGAGCCTGGGCCAAGGACCCAGTGCCCCAGGCCTCATGGGGCTCAGGTGGCCCTAGGGACAGCACCTAGGGCCTGGGTGGGGCAGCCTGGCCTGGGCGTGGGTCACGATCAGGACCTCTTGGAGGCCTCCATCCCAGCTGCCCAACACTCACCATTGCCCCCAGTGCCAGGCTGGGCCTTGGTGGCTAGGAGTGAGGCCCCACAAGAGAAGCTAGGAATAAAAGAACCCCCGGGAGAGACCCAGGAGCCTGGGGCAGGGGCCCAGCCTGACCCCCAAAAGTGGCGGAGCAGTGGGCCCTGGGTGTACCAGGATGAGTGCAGGGCACAGGCAGGGCCGCAGGCAGCCCCTGAGACCCGGAAGAAGGAGAGGGGAAGAGGATCCCAGATTGGGCAGGTATCGGGCAGCTTCTCCCATGAGGCAGTCAGGGACCCCAGCCCAGGAGAAAGGCCTCTGAGAACCCCTTAGTCCAGGGACCACTCCCAGAGCCCAGTGTCACCCACTTGTCACCTGTTCCCTGGTCCTGGAGACCCACGTGTCCAGCAGCAGCTCCAGGCGCAAGCGGTGGAAGGCCCGGGTCGTCTTAACTGCGATAAAGACATCGCGCAGCTGTAGCTCAGGGGGCCCCGGGCTCGGCTGGCTCAGTTCGGGGGTCTCCTGTACCTGCTGTGGGGACAGGCTCAAGTGGTACCGCAGACACAGAAGCCCCATGCACAGGAGGGTGAGGAGGGCTCCAGCCAGGCCCCGCAGGAGCCGGCACTGCATTGGTTGGCCCTGGGACCCCAGACAGCTCAGCCCCCAAATCCCAGCCAGACGGGGAGGGAGGCTGGTCAGGCCGGGGCTCCAGCAGAGGCAAAAATCTGGCAAGCATCAGGGGCTGGCAAGGAGGGAAGAGGTAGGAGCCGAGACTCTGGACCCGGAGGCTGAGCCATGGCAGCACGGTCTCGACCGCGCCAGCCCTCCACCTGCTCCCGGCCGGCCGGCCAGCCGGCCGCAGCCTCCGGGACTGCCGGGCCCCGCCCCGCTCAGCCCGAGAGGCGGGGCCAGACGAAGGGAACCCCAGACAGAGGCGGCTGAAAGGAGGCACTAGCAGAAGGGGCAGCCCTGGCTCTACCAGCTGCTGCGGTGAGAGGAAGTCACAACAAACTCTCCGTGCGCGGTGGAAGGGAGGTTCCTCCAGGACCATCCACGTCCCCAGAGACCTGTCAGCTTGGCCCATTCAACACCCATTACTTTGGTGTCCTGCGTCGCCCGGCGTTTGCTCAGTTTCCCTCCGGGATGAGGTCCCCTCCCACCAGCCTCACCCACATTCCCTCCGCTAGGTTGAATTCTATCTGAACTTTAAAGCTCAAGGGTTCCCTTCTCCAGGAAGCCTTTCATGATGCCCCCTCTTAACATCTGGGGCTCCCGCGGTAGTTCGCTCAGATCCTGTGGTCTTCCCAACAGCACTGGGGCTGTCACTCCCAGTTTATGGCCAAAGATGTAAGGCACAAAGGCACAGAATGAGCAGAGATGATCCAGCAGCTCAGCTGCAGAGTTGACAGAACCCAGGTCTCTGGTCCTCATCTGGTTCTCAGGAGGTCCTGCCCCGCCGTGGCGCTGCCCATACCCAACGTCACTCCGCAGTCTCTGGAGCTGCTGCTCTCCCAGCACCCAGCCAGTGGACAGACAGAGGGCCTTCTCCAGCCACCACCTCCGTCTTGTTTCGGACAAGCTCACTCACACCTCCTCCCTCCGCTGCTGAAAGCCTGCACTGGCTCCCATTTTCTACAGAACAAAAGCCAAAAATGCACTCAGTAGCCCACAAGGCCCTCCCACCCGTCCTGCTACTCACTCTGCTACACTGCAGACCCCTGGGATCCTGGCTGTCCCAGGCACACGGCTGCCACAGGACCTTGTCACTTGCTGTCCCCACCCACAACCCTCCCTAGAGACCTCATCTCACTCTCCCACTCCCTCTGGGCTTTACACAAAGGTCACCATCTCTGTGAGGCCTTCCCTGGCCACTTTATTAACATTGCAACCCCTTGCCCCCTCCTTCCCAGCCCCCCAGGCCTGTCCTTCCCAAGCCGCCTTTTTTTTTTTTTTTTTTTTTTGTGATGGAGTCTCACTCTGTTGGCCAGGCTGGAATGCAATGGCGCCATCTCCACTCACTGCAACCTCTGCCTCCCGGGTTCAAGCAATTCTGCTGCCTCAGCCTCCCGAGTAGTCGGGATTACAGGCGCCCGCCACCACACCCAGCTAATTTTTTTGCATTTTTACTAGAAACGGGGTTTCACCATCTTGGCCAGGCTGGTCTTGAACTCCTGACCTACGGATCCACCCACCTCAGCCTCCCAAGGTGCTGGATTACAGGCATGAGTCACCAAGACTGGCCCAGCCCCCTTCTTCACTATTTTCTCTACGCTTTTCATCTTCCACATCCTGTATGTCTTATTTATTGTCTGTCCTCCTCATGAGACTATCAGGGCAGGATTTCTTTTTAATCACTGAGTCCCTAATACCCAGTGCCTAGGACAGTGTCTTGCAGACAAGAACTCGATCAACATTCAGGAGGCTGGTGAAGTGAACTGGCCCTGCCAGGCTCAACCCTGCATGAGGACAGCTAGGGGAGAGGAAGGGAAACCAACCCTTTGAATCACTTTCTCATGGGCCAGCCCCCAGCAAGGCCCTTCACAGCCCATATTCTCAGAATGGTGACAATGCCAGCCTTGGTGGTAATCACAGGCTCTGTGCCCCACAGACAAGGTTCAACTCCCGACTGGGGGCCAAGCGCTGTGGCTCATGTCTGTAATCCCAGCATTTTTGGAGGCTGGGGCAGGCAGATCACTTGAGGTCAGGAGTTCCAGACTAGCCTGGCCAACATGGTGAAACCCCATCTCTACTAAAAATACAAAAATTAGCCAGGCATTATGGTGGGCACCTGTAATCCCAGCTACTCGGGAGGATGAGGCAAGAGAATCACTTGAACCCGGGAGGCGGGAGGCGGGAGGCGGAAGGTTGCAGTGAGCCAAGATGGCACCACTGCACTCCAGCCTGGGTGACAAGAGTGAGACTCTCTCTCTAATAAAAAAAAAAAAAAAAAGGGCCGGGCGCGGTGGCTCAAGCCTGTAATCCCAGCACTTTGGGAGGCCGAGGCGGGTGGATCACGAGGTCAAGAGATCGAGACCATCCTGGTCAGCACGGTGAAACCCCGTCTCTACTAAAAAAAAATACAAAAAATTAGCTGGGCACGGTGGCGCGTGCCTGTAATCCCAGCTACTCAGGAGGCTGAGGCAGGAGAATTGCCTGAACCCGGGAGGCGGAGGTTGCGGTGAGCCGAGATCGCGCCATTGCACTCCAGCCTGGGTAACGTGAGTGAAACTCCGTCTCGAAAAAAAAAAAAAAAAAAAAAATCCCTACTGGGCCACTCACTGTCTGTGTGACCCCAGGCAAGCTACCTTTATCATCTGTAAAATGGGGACAAAAATGTAACTTGGTGACGATTATGGGATGAGTGGGCTTCACCACCACACAGAAAGGACACTTGACAGGGGCAGCAGGCAGAGGCAGCCGAGCCACAGCGCCCAGCCTGTCCCCAGACCAAGCACTGGGGCAGGGGGAGGTTCATTTACCCCAATGCCCAGGGAGCCACAGACATCGAGAGACAGCCACACAGACTCCCTCGTCCTGCCATAAGGCAGAACATGGCATGACCCAGAGAAGTCCCAAGAGCTGGGAGGCTCTGGTGGGCTTTGTGGAGGTGGCATCTCAGCCAGGCTTCAAAGGTCAGGAAGATTCAGGCAGGGAGAGCAGCCCAGGCAGCAGGCCACACGAGCACAGGGGCACAGCTGAGGGCAGATTCGGAGCCCACCGCGTGTGTTGGGGGGGGGGGATACAGCTGGAGGAAGCCCTGGAGTGGAAAGGGACATTGCAGCTGGCTCCCATGTAGGGGGCGGCCCTTCCCCCACGGCAGCGCCTTTGCCGCTCAGAGTCCAACTCTCCAGCCCCTACCCGTGGTGACAGACTGGTGGGCCTCAAGGTCCAATCTGCACCTTGTTAAAGATGCCCTGTCGTGGAGGGAGTGGGAAGAGCAGTTTCCCAGGCAATGGCTCCAGCTACGCGTGCTCACCCAACCGTGGCCAATCAGTACCCCCATGCTCATTCCAGCATCCTGGTCTCCACAGGGGAGGACCCTAGGTCCAGAGAGGCCATCTGAGTTGCCAGGGGTCACCTGTCTGGCCAGAGCTTTGGCTTTCAACCAAACCACAGTGCCCTGTGCACCCTGCACTCCATCCTGGGAAAGCCTCTGTGGGCTCCCGGGACAGCCTGAGCTCACCATCCTCCCAGGCAACTCCGTGCCCAAGCACTGTCATCCTGCGTGGTCCAGCTTCTGAGACCCTCGCCACCTCTCCCCTATACCCAGTCCTTGTCTCTTCCCACTAAAGATGGGCGCCCCATCTACACCCCAAACCCCTCTCAGCTTCCCCATTCTGTTCTCCACCCACCACCCCAAATCCCCAGACCTTAGCCCTTCTTAAGAATTTTTCTTGTCAAACATGGAGATCCAGCCCCACTCCTGGGGGCCACAGAGCCCCTCCTTCTGGACTGCTCCTCTCTTTCACTACCCCTCCCCCTCTCCCCATCCCCTATTCCAATCGGCCTCAGTCCTGAGCCAACCCCAAACCAGAGTTCCCACAGCCCTGCTCCCCCACAGCCTCCAGGGCACAGCCCAAGCTCCTCTGCACTCCCAGCCCCACCCCAGGACTGCCCTTCCTGACCTCACTTCCAACCTCTCCCCAGGTGGCCAGATCCAACCCATGTGCTGCCCCTGAGCTTTGGCCCTGGAAGCTACACTAGTTAGTACATCCAGACCCCAAGCCCCAGGGCCTGCCCAGGCTCATCACTGTGGCTGAGGACAGTCACCTGCACTTGGACACATAGGTCCAGTAGGTGGTTCTTGAAGAAAGGAATCCCAATTCCCAAGCTCAAGTGGCACCTCCTCCAGGAAGGCTGCCTGGATTGCTCCCAGTGGGAGCAACCATTCTCTCTTGAGTGGAGCCATCTCAGGAACCTGCGAGCATACCAAGGGTTTGCTCTTGAGCTCCTGGGCTCAGCAGTCGGGTCCCTTCAGTCTGAGACCACACCCTGTCAGTTTTGGTGACCCGCTCCAGAGTGGGGGGCACTCCTCTGATGATCAGCCATGGGCCGGGCTGAGCGCTGGGGTGGCCCATCCATGCGGCCCTTCTCTGGTCATCCGGGGCAGGTAAGGTGATGCCAGCGCAGATGGCAGGCGGCTCTGGGACCAGGCAGGCAGGAAATCTGACCCTCCCGACAGGCTATCAGGGACCTGAAAGGTGGTAACTGCCTGAGCTGGGGGTGGGGACAAATAAGAATGGTGGGGGCCCAGGCCAGGGATACAAGCAAGCAGAAGTCCACCAATGTCTACCACAAAAGTGTTTAATATTCCATGGTGTGCAGCTTCTGAGTGAAAAAGACCCATTAATCATCCACGGGCTGTACATTCTCATGACGGAGCCCTCCCGGCCCCCAAGAGGGAGGCAGGGGTTGGGCCCTGTGAGGCATGGTTCTGCGTGTGCCCATGTGAAATGGGCGGGGCATGACATTTACACAGGAGAGAACCACAGACACCCATGTGAAGAGACACGAGGGGCACAGGTGACCGAGGGCCCAGGAACCGCCCGCCCTCCCCCCAACCGCCGTCCATGCATGGCTGAATCCACGAGGAACGTGAGCTGGATGGCGGAAGTCACATGATAATGGGCTCGGGGCTCCTGGGAGCAGAACAGGCCCAGGGCAGAGGGACGGACCTGAGCCTACCCGTGAGAACTTGAGTGTGCAAACCTGCGCACAGGTGTGAGAAC